AACCTCATATCCACGAAAAGGTGGCGAGAAGCCCTACGCTTCTAGCTACTCGTTGCAGCCCCAAGGCTTCCTCATGCCCGGGTGCAGCTGTAACGTCCGTGTTTTTGTGCTAAGCATTAAGGACGATGTAATATTCTAGGTAAACTATTATAACGTTTTTTGAAGTAATAAGAATGTATTATGTGAATTTATGTGCCTTATATTTAATTATGATGATATATAAAATTAAGGATAAAAATAAGCGTCGAAAGTAAAATGTTAGATAAAACCGATATCTATGAATAAAGTTGTAGTGGTCGAAACAAGGATTTAGGAGATATAAAGAATACCGAAATTTGAGTTATAACGAAAAAGTTATGACCTGTTGAAGTTTCGCGACAAAACCGGCACGACGCTGTGTGACGTAAAAAGTGAGTTTACGATAAAGTGCTTTTTAGCCTTAGCGATCTAAACGAAAGTTGTAGTATTCGTTAAACCGAGAGTGTGCATAAAAAGAACGCCCAAATCTGACTTCGTATGAGGAAGTTATGATTTTTCTAAGTTTCGGCTTAGCAGTATGCAGCCCGAAGTTCGAATATGAGATCGAACGATTTTTAGCCGACACAACCTTAACGAGAATCGAAGATCTTGTTGATAGTAGTTCAATGGTAAAAAGATAGACGAAAACGGACGTCGGATGAGGAAGTTACGAATTTTTAACGGACTTTTCCTGTCCCCGTCTGTTAAAAATATAACTTTAAAAAATAAAGTCAAAATTAGCCAACGGAGTCTAAACGAAAGTTGTAGATCATAATCTCACCTATGCGTAGATATAGAGAACGTCGAAAACGGAGCTCGTATGCAAAATATATGGATTTTTGAAGTTCTGGGCACAAACTTCGAGGCTGGTTCGAAGGAGTACGCCCAACGTACTCGTGTAAGTGTTCCGGAGTCCGTCACCCTCCCTAATCCTTCGCATGAGAGACACGTTTCATATCCTTGACGCGTCCGAAATGATCCCTTCATACGCCCTACGTACTGGTTGGAGAAGGAGTACGCTTCGTGTACTCTAAAGTTATGCCCATCGTAACTCGAGTTTTCAGCCCTTATAAATAGTGATCGAAGCTAGCCGTATTTTTGTTTACAAAAGTCACTCCTCTCACCTTATACTTTCTTTTTTGTTACACTAAATACCCCAAGCCTGTTATATCATCCTAGCATTGTAAGCAAGCCCCGGAGAGCCCGAAGATCCCGAGAAAAGAGTTTTTCGAGACGAAACTTTGCCCGCGTGAAGCCCGGTTTTTGGAAAAATATCCCGGTTTTATCGGAAACGATCGTTTTAAGAAACGAAGTGTTGCCCGATTATCGTTAAATAAGGTGAGTGTGTAGTCACTTTCATCTTACACATAGATATGAAGTATTTTCTATAAAATATGTGCTATGTGTAATTATATTGATTGTTTATTTGAGATGGGTGTTGAATAGATGTTTTATACAAGTTTAAAACTGTATATGTATTTTTATCTACAAATATGTTGGGTAAAACATGGGTGGATGAAATAGTTGATGTGTGTTAAAAAGATGAGAGGCCTCGATGTTGTTGTTGTTGTTGTAGTCATCTAGCGGAGTATAGATGACGACCACAGACTTTTCTAGACAGTCCAGTGGAATATTAACAGGCTCGTAAACTATAGATGTTTTTCGAGAGTACGAATTAGACTTAGTCAATTGTCCTTAGTCCAAGAGTATGGATAGGACGTAGTTATTTGTTATTAATCTGGGAGTATGGATTAAGATATAGTTATTTGTTATTAGTTCGGGAGTATGGATTAAGACATAGTTAATTGTCCCTAGCCCGAGAGTATGGAATGGATACAGTTATTGATCCGGGAGTATGGATTAGGTAAAGAGGTAAATTTTAGATCCGAGTGTATGGATTAGGTAAAGAGGTAAATTTTAGATCCGGGAGTATGTTTTAGGTAAAGAGGTTGATTTTAGATTTGAGAATATAGATCGTGTCGTTGTGAGGATTCTTAGGGTGGAACCTTAAGAAACTGCAAAAGTATTACTTAAGCAGTGTTGTTATCTCGATGATGATCCTTAGGCTAGGTCCCTTATGATAGGTGTTTAGGGACGTAAAGTGAGGATAACGGGAACGGGTAATCAGGGTTATTGTTGGTTGATGAAAGTAATAAATTTATTGTTGATTGATGAAAATTAATAAATTTATTTATTATGGGTTGAAAACTCTATATGCTCACCAGGCTCCCAAGTCTGACCCACTCAGTTTTCTATATTACAGGTAGTGGAACAAGAGCATAGTTGGACGATGATGAAGGATTTTGGATTATAGGCCAATAGATATAAATATTTGTTGTAAGACCTATATTGTACTGTTTATGCTTTTGGTCTGTATCGATGTGGACATCCCGAGGTTTTATAATATAATAAAAATTCATTTCTTTAAGAAATGTTTTGATAAATTTTTATCATATTTTGTTTTGGGAACAAATTCCACAACACCTTTTGAAAGATTACTCTGGTTTTATTTTAAAAAACATAAACGAAATCGGTCTTTTCTGGCCGAGAAAATTAGGGATGTCACAACAGCCCACGAACCCTAAATCACGGACGATCCGAAACAGGATGTTACAGAGAGAGATAGAGAGAGAGAGAGAGAGAGAGAGTTAATGTCTTTAAGAGTGATGTGATTTTCATTTTTTTTATTTATTTTTAAATTAAATAATAAGAATAAATAAAACAAACAAAAAAATTAGTTAATGGTACTTTGGTCATTTTCGGTGGGGTATGGACCAATACCACACAAAAGTGCCAACATAGGGACCAAAATCATACGAGGTATCCAAAATTAGATCGACCACCAAACTTTTTTGGACCAAAATTACAGATTTTTGACAATCACAAGGACCATTTTTGCAATTTTGTCATTTTGTAATGTTGTTTGTTGTTTTGCTTGTAATTTTGGCCTTAGAATTTTAGGCAAAATCTCATAAATGGTACATATGGTTTTTCGAAATATGATATATTAGTCCCTAAGTTTAAGAAACCTCATAGATAATCTCTATGTTTCAAAAATTTTAACAATTGGTTTATGTGGTCTCTAAACTTTTAGCAAATAGTCTCCCACCCACATAAAAAAATATATCCTTTTTAATTTATTTTACGTTTTTTATAATTAATGTCATTAAAAAAATAAGAAAATAAGTTAATAACCCCCCCCCCCCTTTTCCAGCGACGTTCTTCTCCGTTTGGCCTTCCCCATCATTTTGAGATCGACGTCTCCTACCCCCAAAGCAGCCGTCAGAGACCTTTCAAACACCATCGATTGCCCTTGTTTTGCTTAACGCTTCTTCCAGATTGGATGGACAACACCTGTTTCGCCATGACTTCAATCATAAAACTCATGTTCGCCTAATTTTCTGAGTTCGTAAAAAATTTTAAAGGTGGAGAAATCGCCATGGCTTCTTACTGTTCGGACCATCTGATGACCGACGTTGCTGCTCCGCTGATGTACCGGGCGATCACCGCCATTTGTTCTTCCCTAAGCCGCCATCAAACCACATCTCTGTTTTCCTTGAAATCAGTTCTATTTTTATGAAATTATTTTAGTTTCTCGTGAAGTCAGTGTTGATTTTACTCCCTATGAAATCTGAAACGTCTTTTTATTGATGCTCAAATCTTAAATGGTTTCTTGAATCCGTAATCTTGTTGATTCAAAATCATATGCCAATTGGTGGTAGTTAAGTGTTTTTAACAATAAAGAAATAATATTTTAAAAGTGTTAGATGGACCCCTAATTTTAATTAAAATATTTTATAATAATTAAAAATGTAAAAAATAAATAGCAAAGAGCATATTAGTCGTTTCATGTTTCACAAAAAATCAATCTTGCAAATTTAAAGTAACGAATGATGAAGATTTCTACACAAATCGAATTAATTTTTGAAATAAATTTGGGAAAACTACAATAAAGTCCATACATATTGGCCTCATAATCAATTTAGTCCCTATATAATTTTTTTATTCAATTAAGTCTCAAATACCGGTAATCGTATTCAATTTAACCCTTTGACCCAGTAAACAGGTCATCCAACTTTCAAAAATTACATTTTTGACCCAGATTTCAAATTTTATTACAAATTCGGTTCATAATTTACACTTTTGGCCCCAATTTTAAATTTTGTTACAAATTTGGTCCAAACTTTACCAATTTTGCCCAAATTTTAGAATTTTATTATGAATTCATCATAACTTTAGTTTTTTCACAAATTTCTTTCTCAAAAAATTGTTTCTAATATGTTTTTTCTTTATAAAATCATATTTATAAAAAAACATATTTTCACATAAAAATCTTATATTTTCTATATAAAAACGTTTTTTAAATATGATTTTATAAAGAAAAAATATATTTTTATAACTAGATATTTTATATACAAAAAACTTTTTATATAGAAAATATAAGATTTTTATGTAAAAATACGTTTTTTTTTATAAATATGATTTTATAAAGAAAAAACATATTAAAAACAATTATTTGATAAAAAAAGTTGTAAAAAAACTAAATTTAGGATGTATTCATAACAAAATTCTAAAATTTGGGCAAAAAGGGTAAAGTTTGGACCAAATTTGAACAAAATTTAAAATCTGGACCAAAAGTGTAAATTTTGGACTGAATTTGTAATAAAATTTGAAATCTGGGCCAAAAATGTAATTTTTGAAAGTTGGATGACCTATTGATCGGGTCAAAAGGTTAAATTGAATACGATTACCGGTATTTGAGGCTTAATTGAATAAAAAATATGTATAGGGACTAAATCGATTATGAGACCTATATGTAGAGACTTGATTGTAGTTTTCTCAATTAATTTTGAAAACGTAAGCCGAATATATATTTTAACACTTGCATCAAGAATGGTTTCGTGTAATTACTCAAAAAAAAAAAAGTATAAAAAGTAAAAAATCAAACTACATGTTAAATCTTTTACAGTTCCTATAGAATTAAAGAGGCAATCGAAATCAGAACCCACCACCCCTTTTCATAGCCCTAGAAATTCTTCCTCAATTCAATGATTCATGAACATTAATATCCAATTGTTTCCTCCCTCCCCCTTCCCTCCCTTTAGTAGATAAATCATCCGCCATCAACATTTCTCTCTATCTTCACGCAGTTTGATTTCCTTTGAAGAAAAATGCAGTCGATCACGAACATCAGAACCACCTACGGCCTCCCTCTTTGCCTCTCCGGAATCACCCATCACCACCACCTTTCTCTCTCTAAACAGTCTCTCTCTCTCTCTCTCTCTCTCTCTCTCTCTCTCTCCCTCTCTCTCTCTCTCTCTCTCTCTCTCTCTCTCTTCGACACATTTGCGCACAGTTTTTGTGTCTGAATTCGTGTTTTTTTCACAACAGGATTGCAGATCATGATCGGAGACGAGAGGCAATGAAGGTAGCTACATCGGAAACCAGAAGTCGCGGCGGCGTAATCAACGGAGAGGTAAGAGAAAATGAAGTTATCCACAGATCATCAGATCTGAGAAAGTTTAGCGGCGATGATGATGATCAATCATCACTTCTTCATACTTCATGTACAGCCAAAGCTGCTTAGGAGTTCCATTTTCAGTCTATTTTGATTTTTTTTTTTTTACTTTATATATTTGAAAACTCTTATGGATCAGCTTCGGATTTGCCCTAATTTGATTTATGAAAGCAACTATGGTACTTTCTGTTATGAATTATGATCTCTTGATTTGATTATCATGATCATGATCCACGCCATGTTCAATTTCTTTTTATGAATCATGAATTTACTGTCTACAGTGTCAATGGCTGGACTGGACCATTTGGAATTTGGATCACGCCATTAAATGTGTTCTTGCGACATTTCAAGAAAAAAATTCCGTACAAATTTATAATAATAAAAATATTTTTTATTCTTATTGATATGTCTCTTTTTATCTACGTATTTAACACAAAACTATATCATTATCTGTTTATTCTTTGTGTCTCAAAACATATAATAATATTAAAAGTACAAATAATATATAGGTTTGGAAATCACATCGACAAAAAGTTTGATCTTAACTTTAACTTTGTAATTTGTAATTTGTTAAAGAAAAAATTTTGTAATTTGTCTTTAACTTTAACTTTCTAAGAATATAGCCATAAAAATGTTCTCTCACTATATATTATTATACAAATATATGTGTATATGGCTTATAGATAAGATGTTTAGTTACAAATAGATAATCCTATAGACAATTGTTGATGTTATACGTGGTACTAATAATATAATGACAAAAGTATTTGTGTTTATAACAAGACATAGAAACCCATTTTTATTTTATAATTATTTTTAGGGAGACACATAAAAATAAAAACCCATTTTTGTGTTATAGTAACCTAGAGTGATAAAAGTCAAGAAATTAGTAAAGAATTGTAACGATGCGAGTAGACCCTATTGAGAAGGACTGATATGCTGGTCATATCCGGGTAAATCTACACATGTGTATCCATCACCACCATCTCTTTCTTCCCTGAAGCTACATCAGGCCACACTAGTCTTTTTCTATGTTTTCTTATTTTTTCCCCTCAGAAATGGTTATTACTCTCAATCACATTTTGGTTCAAACTAATTATGCATGATTTACAAGATGAGAGAAGGAGAAAGAAGACAGAAAGAACTTTACGGAAATGGTTGCTTCCCTAAGGTTGTTCGGAGTACCATGAGTAACCATAAATATGATGGGTATCATACCACCGTAAGCTCATCAACACACAAAACCACATTTAGATAGATATACCAATCGTTATACTTCATTTTTTTTATTAAAATTAAATAAAAAGTGTAATGAAATTGTTAGATTTTTAATTAAAATAGAAACATTATAATGCATAAATTTAAAAAAACACCAAACAACTAAAACAAATAAATAAAATATAGAAAAACATACGTAACATTTAAAATAATCCTAAAATTACATAAAATATATGTTTTATAAAAAACATAATCCAAAGATATTGCCCGTCTTCGTTCATGTTGATTTGGTATGGATTCTCTGCTACGTTGTAACATCTCAAAAATCAGGATAAATTTAATTTTTTCTAAAACAACCCATTAACCATAAAGTGTGTACAAAAAGCATTGTTTCAAAAGTATAATCATAATCAGATTATCCCAAGATCCAATATCATAAAAACAGGAAGATGTGCACCATCACGTCTTCGCTTTCCCATGATCCTCTGATGTACCTGAAACAATAAACTGAGACTGTAAGTCAACGCTTAGTGAGTTCCCCCAATGTACCACCACACAACATGACAAACAACAACATGCATACATGAGCCTTCAACATGACTAGACCGCCGCACCCGACCTTCAGTCCATCTGGACCGCCTCGCAGTGTCACGGACCAAGTTTCTGGAAATTTCACGATCGTCTAGAGAACTCTGGAACGATCAAGTATACTCGAGAAGTCTCCGGAGAGATCAAGAATGCTCTACGGGACCCTGGAAGATACTAGAATATTATAGATGTCCGTGGAACAAAGGAGAACAATCCGAAATAATCAAGAAGGCACTAGACGAAGCTAGAACGACCCGGAAGACTTTGGAACGATCTGGAACACGCTAGATCATACAATAGCGATTTGGATAATTTCGGGACGACCTAGAGATTTCTAGAGCATCTTAGACAAGTATATCATATTCTAGAGTCTTTTAAAATCCATGTATATAATAGGAAGAGTCTAGATTAGTCAAGAATAATTGGGACCTAGAAACTTCCATTTGAGGAGGTGTAAGGTACCTATAAATAGGAAGCATGTCTCATTTGTAGGATCCATCGAGAAGTTGCCTTGTAAAGAAGTTGAGTTATATAATAGAATCTTTCTTGAAGTGTCCCTTGTCGTAACTCTTGCTTCCTAAGTTCGTTAGTACATCTAGATCGTCGAAGTTAGTCTGACTTAGTCGGAGAAGCACTAAGTGGCATACGGTATTGACTAGTCTAAAAGAGTCATCCCGTCACAAGTTGTATCAAAGCCAGGTTTTGTACGAGCAAGAGATCGTAGCAATGGAAGGAGGAAGTGATGTAGCTAACTCCCCCTGTCGTCGAAGAGAAAGGAAGGAAGTCCAGGAGGAGGTACCAATCCGCTGACCCTTTGGCAAGCTTAGAAAACAAGCTTATAAAGGTGGAGATTAGCGTCAGTGAGATCCTTGAGTGGAAGGATATCGTCGATCAATTAGTTGCTGAGATAAGTGACACGAGCGATGAATTGAAGGAGACCATCAGTGTCATCAAGGAAGAAGTCCTTGGACTTATCAACACCTTGTGGAATGAGTTCCGTGAGAAGGTAGACGCATTACAAGCCGAAGTAAACTTGTGCAAGGTAGCAATCGCCGGAGGGACCATTGCGAGAACGTTGCCGCACACAGAAGCACCTAAACCATTAAAGTATGGAGGTAAACGCGATCCCAAAGAACTTGACGAATTCTTTTGGTCAATGGAATGCTACTTCAATGCTAGTCAAGTGAAGGACGACAAGACGAAGGTAGATACAGCCGTACTTTATCTATGCGAGAGTGCAGCTCTATGGTGGCGAAGGAAGCACGGTGATATAGAAAAAAGGATTATATACCATAGACACATGGGAAGAATTCAAGAGGCAACTTAAGAGACAATTCTGCCCACATAATGCTGAAGACAGAGCAATGAAGAAACTTCGTGGGCTAAAGCATACTGGATCCATCTGAGACTATATACTCGAGTTCACGAGCTTGATGCTAGAGTTACCCGACATGCAGGAGAAGGACAAACTTTTCTATTTCATGGATGGACTACAATCTTGAGCCTACAACGAGCTCATGAGGAGAAATGCCAAAGACATCGACGAAGCTATTGCCGTGGCAGAAGATCTAGTGGAATTTCGAAAAGAAAGCACAATTAATATGAATAGTGGGGGAGAACAAACTATGTCAGAATCGGAACCAAAACAAAACACACCCCAACCTTTGAATACGAAAGGAAAAGCAATCGAAGGAAGAAACCGAAGAGAGGAATGGAAGGAGATCAAGTGCTATTTGTGTGATGGTCCTCACTTGATCCGAGACTGTCCGAAGAAAAAGACCTTTTACGCGATGGTGTTGCAAGAAAAAGAAGACGAAGCACAAATAAACTCAATGCGTTTTCTGAACTCAATATCGAAAGATGAGATAAAATCATCTAAGAGGGAAGAAAATAAAGGAGGGAGTCTCATGTTCGTCGAAGCCAAAGTGAATGCAAGGAACACTAAGGCGCTAGTAGATTCCGGAGCAACACATAGTTTCATCGTAGAGGAAGAAGCCAGGAATTTGGGTATTCATTATACAAAGGAGTTAGGTCGGTTGAAGGTTGTCAAATCTCCATCTAATCCGATCCTCAGAGTTTCTCGTGGAATACCCATGAATATTGCAGAATGGGAAGGGACCATCGACTTGATAGTGGTTCCGATGGACGACTATCGCATGGTACTAGGAATGGATTTCCTAGATATGGTATGTCCTTGGTCGTTCGAAAGAGACAACACCATGCGTATAACCAAGGGATCAACTATCCATATCATTCCCTTGGAAAGAAGAAAGACAAAAGCTCGAACCCTTTCAACTATGAAGATGTGTTATTGCCAGAGTAATATGATCAAGAAGAAAATGAAGCCAAAAAGGGAAATTCGAGTAAACAATGCATACATGAAGGAACAGGGATCCATATCCTCCTTGAAGATTTACTCAAGAAGTTATGAGGCTGAGAGAAGAAGTAGGATTCAAGGTATGTTGAGAAATAAAAGCACACATTACTCGAAGCAATACTTTGGAGAAAAAGAAAAGACACGAAGCAGCTCCGTGACAAGATTGAGACATATGTATAGAAGACTTGAAAAGGACGTCAAGGGTTTAAGTGGGGGAGGGTGTCACGGACCAAGTTTCTGGAAAATTCCACGATCGTCTAGAGAACTCTGGAACGATCAAGTATACTCGAGAAGTCTCCGGAGAGATCAAGAATGCTCTACGGGACCCTGGAAGATACTAGAATATCATAGATGTCCGTGGAACAAAGGAGAACAATCCGGAATAATCAAGAAGGCACTAGACGAAGCTAGAATGACCCGGAAGACTTTGGAACGATCTAGAACACGCCAGATCATACAATAGCGATTTGGATAATTTCGGGACGACCTAGAGATTTCTAGAGCATCGTAGACAAGTATATCATATTCTACAGTCTTTTAAAATCCATGTATATAGTTGGAAGAGTCTAGATTAGTCAAGAATAATCGGGACCTAGAAACTTCCATTTGAGGAGGTGTAAGGTACCTATAAATAGGAAGGATGTCTCATTTGTAGGATCCATCGAGAAGTTGCCTTGTAAAGAAGTTGAGTTATATAATAGAAGCTTTTTTTGAAGTGTCCCTTGTCGTAACTCTTGCTTCCTAAGTTCGTTAGTACATCTAGATCGTCGAAGTTAGCCTGAATTAGTCGGAGAAGCACTAAGTGGCACACGGTATTGACTAGTCTAATAGAGTCATCCCGTGACAGCAGGCCTTCAATCTATCCAGACCGCCTTGGGTATCTTGGCCTTCAGCACCAGCTGGTCTACCTCAACCCAGTAAACCATAACATGTCGACATATACAGTAACAATCCATAATCAACAAACATAGATAGTCCTACAGATCTACCAG